AAATTGATTTGATAGAAATTAATGGGCTAAATTAGAGAAGTTAAGCAGCAGGTCCTTATTCAGTTTGCTTTAGGACAAGAAGTACATGCTATAATATGAACAGAAACAGAATGGCAGCAACAGTTTAGGACCTTATCCTGGTTTATTTCTGAGTCAGAGACACTGAGTGAATAAGCTCCATAAAAGACTACAAAAGAACGGGACGCTCAAGGGTATCCTAGGTTTTACTGATAGGAACAGACTGATTGAGAGCCATAATAGCAACTCCTTTTGTTTAGGTACATTGCCAGTAATAATAGTTAATGAAAAGTTCATGTTTGACAAACTTTGAACTTATCTTTCTACAGAGCACGTGTGTGCACACGCGAGCGTGTGTGTGTGTGTATGTGTGTGTGTGTGTGTGTGTGTATGTGTCTTACCTAGTTTTATTGCTGTGAAGAGACCCCATGACCACAGAAACTTTTTTTTTTCACAGAAACTCTTATAAAGAAAAACATTTAATTAGGGCTGCCTTATAGGTTCTGAGGTTAGTCTACTGTCATCATAATGGGAAGCATGGCAGCATGCAGGCAGACATGGTACTGAACAGGTAGCTGAGAATTCAGCAGACAGCAGGGAGAGTGACAGAGTCTATCTTGGGTTTCTGAAGCCCCAAAGCTCACCCCCCCCCCCCCATGACACACTTCCTCCAACAAGGCCAGAACAATCCAACAAGGCCATGTCCTAATCCTTTCAAATAAAGCCTTTCCCTATGAGCCTGTGGGGGCTATTCTCATTCAAACCTCTACAGTGTGTTTCTCAGTAGTTTAAGTTTCTCCCCTTTATGTGATTTTTCATTTTCTTCTAACTCCAAATATTGCTGAGCTTCTCTCCTGTTATGTAGCAGGTGTCCTGCTTTCTTCTGCTGGCAGAAAACAACTTAGGAAAGAAAAGGTTTATTTTAATTCACAGTCCCAGGTTCCAGTCCATCACAGCAGGGACGTCAGGATGGCAGGAACAGCTTGTCACATCTCAACCATAGTCAAGAGCAGAGAGGAATTGATGGATGTGTCCTTACTACTCGATTCACTTTCTGCACTCTTGAAAAATTTTAATTTTATTTACAAATTATATGTAGATACGTGTGTCTTTGTGTGAGAATGTGCACATAAGTGCAAGTGCCTGCAAAGGCCAGAAGAGGGCATGGGATCCCCTGGAGCTAGAGTTAGCTGGAGTAACAGTTGCTTGTGCGGTGCCTGATGTAGGTGCGAGGAAGACTCAGGTCTTCTATAAGGGCAGTATGTGCTCTAAGTAAGCTTTCCAGCCTTACTTTTTTTCACTCATAAAAAAGTACCCAAACCCAGGGAACAGTCCTGCTTACAGTGAATGTGTGTTTTATATCAATTAGTGCAATAAAGATGAACCCCTATAGACATGCTTATTAGCCAACCAAATCTAGAGAGCCCCTCACTGAGATCCCATCCCTTCCTAGGTGATTCTAGATTGAGTCAAGTTGACAAAACAAACCATCATAGCAGGCTGCCCAAACTTCCATGTTCCCATATTATATTTTTCATTAAAATGTTATTTTAACATTTCCCTTTCATTCTTGCTACTTCTCTAAGATACACTGGCTGGGGTTTACCAAGAAGGTACATTGAGAAAGGAAGGCAGAAGTTTTGTTTTGTTTTTTAAAAAGCTACTCCAAGAGAAGGTCTCAATGACTTTCATTCTGAGTAAAGACCTGAACTGTTTGAGACAGTATCTGGCAAAAAGAATTCCACAGAAATGCAGGGAACAGCACACATAAAATAGCACAAAGATGAAAGTAAGCCTAGAATGTCTGAGACAGAGACTGGACTGATGCCAGTGTGTCTGGATCCTAAAGAATAAGCAAAGTGGGGCGGGAGATAAAGATATCCACAGAGCTGTGTAGACCCTTATGAAGATTTCAGCTACCATTCTTAGCAAAATGAGAAGTCATTGAGGTTTAAGCTGAGGGACACTTGTTAGGGCTGTGAGGTATTGGGGGTTGGTTTTATGGGTAATTTTGTGTGCAAATTTGACAGGGTTAAAGAATGTCCAGTCAGCTCATCCAAACATATTTCTGGGTGTTTCTAGTGATCTTGTGATGAGTATTTAAATCAGTATACTTAGCAAAGTAGGTCTTCCCTCACCAGGGGGCCTCAGCAGAATGAAAATGTGAAGGAAGAGTGTGTTCTCTTTTTTTGGAGCTGGGGTAATCCATTTTCTTTTGGCCTTTGGGTGAGCTATCTGGGGCAGTGCTAGAGAGCTGGCCCTGGTGGTGTGGAGCCAGTGAAGAGGTTGGTCCTGCAGATTCAAAGCTGCAGGATCTCCACGACATAGGATAACAGGATATCTGAGAGGAGTCCTAGTGAGGATCCTGTATTGACAGTGTAGCAGAAGCCAGAGGCCTCGAAGCAGAACCTATGCAAGTAAAGATGTGTGGACAAAAGGGTGTACTGTGTTACATACCATAATGTGCTTCCTCAGAGAGATGGGTTTTTATTTTATTTTATTTTTTTAATTAAAAAAATTCCACGGAGGTGAGGTTGCAAGGGTGGAGGGCAGAAGAGCTGGCGGGCTAACCAACTGAACTCCCACCAAGGCCCAAATCCAGAACTTTGAATTGACCCACCCTAACATCTACCTCATCTTAAGCACCACCAGATGGAGAGGAACAGCCTGATAAGGGTAGCCTGCCCTGCTACCTAAGGCCATGGTGAAGTCCCAGCCTGTGCTGCAGCTGAGGGACATGTCTGGCTCCATGGCCACACAGAAGCAGAGGTCTGTGTGGATGTCCATGGTTCATATTACCACCAAAGGCCATGCAGACCTCTCTGGTCAAGGCTGGTGCTGCCTGGGACCATGTTGATGCCCAGGGGCTGTGTAGAGCTGGCCCCACCCCTCATTAGCTGTGGCCCTGGGAGAGCTGTGTTTTCCCCACCTCTCTCTCCCACCCCCCTGCACCACACCTGGACAGCACAGTAGAATTGGCCCTGGCCCTGGCCCTGGTGGTGGGAATACCTGTGAGTTGGCCCCTAGGGTATAAGAGCCCCTTCCCCTTGCTAGCACTTGGGTAAGTTAGCCAGGACAGTGCTGGAGCAGGAAATGTGGGTACAGGAGAGCTGGTGGACTAACCAATTTAGCAACACCCAGGTCCAGGCCCAGGGCTTTGAATTGGCCCATCCCAATATCTACCCCATCTAAGTAGTACTGGAGCTCATGAAGGGGTTGGTCCAGCAGATTGAAAGCTGCAGGATCTCCATGACACAGGACAATAATAGGATATCTTAGAGGAGTCCTGGTGTTGATAGTGTAGCAGAAGCAAGCGGACTCAACCCAGACCACCTCATTGCAGTGAACATAGGCAAGTAAAGAGGTGTGGAGAGAAGGGTGTGCTGTATGACACACTGTGGAGTATTGCACCTCCCATGGAAAGATGTGTGTTTTTTTTAAATTTTTAATTAAAAAAATTCTTTTAGGGAGAGGTGCAAGAGCGGCAGACACATACAAAGGGTTGGAGAGATGAGTGGGTTTGGGGTGCATGATGTTAAATTCAGAAAGAATCAAAAAAAAAAAAAACCTGTCTTGGAAAGTGGGTGTATGACACATGCTTTTCGTTCTGGCACTCCAGAGGCAGGCAGATCCCTGTGAGTTCAAGGCCAGCTAGAGCTACATAGTGAGACCCCAACCCCAAACAAACAAAAAACAAAAACAGGTGTCCCTCTTAGCCCACTTGTCTGAAGATAAGCTGCCCCATAACTCCGTGACAGGGAGAAGAGAGAACCTCAAAAAACAGCAAGAGTAAAACTTTCCATCGTAAAGTTACTGCTGTTTATAGTTTGTCCCACTGTTTAAGGAGACCACGCTCCAGACTCATGGAGCATGGAGCTCACCTGGCGACTCCAACTGAAAGCTCAGTACTTTGTCTAGTTGGTTTCTGCTGGATGGTGTGAATGCCCGATTTAACGATGTCTTCTACAAATGCTATTTGTTCTTTTATTTGGAAGCCTCACCCGAGGGGATACAGCTGTTGCTAGGACTCTCTCTAGCAGGAGCTCCAGGGGGCTGCCTCAGTGGAGCTTTGCCAGTTGATTTTTGCTGAGCGTTTTAAGCATTCATTTTCTTTTTCTTTTTTCCTACCTATCAATCATCTGTCTGTCTGTCTGTCTACCTACCTATCACTTCTCACTTACTGTTTATTCCTTTACTTTAGGCATACTATGCATGTAATAAACTCATTCATTCAAAACTGAAAGTATGGCTATCATAGACCATCCTCTGGACCACATTCAACACTATTTTCTGAGGTGGAAACATCAAGAGAACTGCATGTTTGGTGATGGCAATATCAGTAGTTGTTTGGGTGATTTCATTCTATAGAAACCTATAGACATCCCAATAGGAATGCTAAATAGGCAGCTAGCTATACAAGACTAGAGCTGGAGGGAAGCAAGGTCTGGCAATCATGTGGAGATGGTTTATGAGGTCATGAGACTGGATGACACGGTCAGGTGAATATTAACAATGAGTCCAGTGATTGAGTTTAGAGAGTCATCAGTGTCTAGTGGTTGGAGTTGAATAGTAATCAGCAAAAAAAGAGTTTCAAGAAGAGGTACATACTCAAGAAGACAAGACAAAACAAAAACCTGTAAGCTGTGTGCTTGATGCTGCAGATATTCAATACTAACCCAGAACATGAATGCTGTTCAATACATTTTTCAATGCATGATTGTTAGTTATGACAAGTGAACACCAGTGCAATTTACAGGGAGGCAGGATGATCTTTACTTATCTTCACAGGAACTTAAACTATTAAAAAAAAAACAAAAAACAACAAAACCTAGGGCTCGGTGTGTAGCTCAGTCAAGGTCCTGGGGTTCACCACTACCACAATCACCGATAAAACAAAGAAAACAGTTACACTTAGAAGGCAGTGAGGTTACCACCAGAAAAGAACCATGAGCTTAAAGCTCAGTTTTCAGGAGTGGGTTAGAAAAGCGTTACTCAGTGGGTATTAGGCCACACGACCCAAGGTCTCTCACATCTTAGACATTACTATTCAGATGCTGAATTCAAATGTGTTTATACATAGGCTTGGGACAAGTATAGCCAAGACTGTTCCCAGGGAAATCTTCAACGGGTGTGTTTCAATGGCATGTTTATTAAACAAATGTTCATGTCAGCTTTTCACAACAGCAACAAATGTTATTCCACATCAAGTCTTTCTTACTGAGGAAAAAAGACAATCACAACATTGATGGATTTGGATTACTTTTTCATGTTTTCTGGGGGGGGGGTGGTAAAACTTGTGGCCTCACTTCTTTTCCTCTTTCTCTGACTTCATTTTCTTTACCTCTTCTCTGGCCACATGTCCCCGAAAGGCTGCTTGGATTTTGAGAGCAGCATGCTCCTCCTTTTCTCTTTCTTCCTCAGTAGACTCCTCCTTCATTGAAAAGAGAGAAAGTGAGAGACTTTCCCAGAATGCTGTATTTTTGATGCCACGGAAATGAATTTATAGAATTAACCAATTTACAGATGCAACTCTTTGAAGTCTGTTGTTTCCTGGAGGATTTTATACATTGTCATATTTGTATGTGCACCAATGGCTACATGCCAAAAGAGCAGGAATTCAGCTTACTGCTTTTTAATATGTTTTAATAAAGATCATCGCCAACTTCTCTTTTCTTGTTCCTGGATAGTACTTGGTTTAAGTTTCCTGAGAAATCCCATTGGTTTAGGGTAGGGAAGCGAGAAAGAACCCTTGAAGTACAGCCCCCTTCCATCTAACCCTAGCTTATCGGGACTCATCAGGACTGGCTGCATTGTCCTCTGTGGCCTGGCAAGGCTGCTCCCCCCTCAGGGGAAGGTGGTCAAAGAGCTCTGAGTTCATGTCAGAGACATCCCCTTGTTCCCCTTACTAAGGAACTCACTTGGATACTGAGCTGCCATGGGCTACATCTGAGCAGGGGTTCTAGGTTCTATCCATGAATTATCCTTGGTTGGAGTATCAATCTTAGAAAAGACCCCTGTACCCAGATATTTTGGTACTGTTGCTCTTTTATAAGCCATTATGAGTTCATATTAGGGTCTCATTGATTTTTAATTTCAGATTCACTTGCCTGTACTTGAGAATCATCTCAAAGAATTTTATGCTGGTCTATTTGTATTTAAAAGTTTAAGAGCTAAATTCACTTCACTGTTTGTAATGGAGGGAACTGAACAGCTCAAAGGTCTGTCAATAGGTGACTGAGTGACTAAATCACTGGTGAATGACATCAGCACAATGGAAGACAATGGTCATGTCCCTGCCATTCAAACTGAACAAAATTACATATGAAATAAGAGCTTAGAAAAGAGTACCCAGATGTGTTGTTCATGGGGAAAGTAGCTGTAAAGCACTGCAATTAGCATGGTCTTGTTTTAAAACGAAAAACAAATCTGTCTCCATGTAAATGTACTCATACATAGAGAAAATTTGGGTGTGTAAACATTCACAAAGACACAGAGACACACACAACCTACAACAATGGTTACTTCTTTAGAAGCAAAATTTGGAGAGGTGAAATGTTTCATTTTAGATAGCAAACATTGCTAACTGAGAGATGAAGACATGGAAAGGAACTCAAAGGTTTGAACTCTGACAGTGTACAGATTTAATTATTTTACACAAAGCCCAGTCTTTCTTAGTTTGGACTACAAAGATTACAGAAAATGATGTGCGGTATTTGTTTTAGCATAATGTGCTGTGTTTGTAAATATTTAACTGGTTCTACAGAGAAATAATAGAATAAAACAACATTGCCCTCCTAAAACACCACCAAAACTCTGGGTTGTAGTTTCCCTTAGTCTCAATACTGATCAATGGCTGATTTTGAGTTATCAAAATCATGTTGCATTGGGCACAATTATCTCCAAGTGATGGCTTTAGTACAGCACTGAATAGATATAGGTAGTATCTTTGAGGGTGAACTTCCCCATTTCTGGGTGTCTTGGATATAGCCTGTTAAGGCAGGCAAGCATTTCTACAGAAGGCATTGCTTGGAACATGAGTAAGCCATACCATGTAAGGCCATTGTATTTGATGTAATATAATTGTTTTCCCTTTTGTTATCTCTAACCTTTGCCTTTGTGTGGTGGTAACACAGCAAGTAGTGGAGAAAGTCCCAAAGCAGAATAGCAATCTGAGAGATAAGAGGAGGCTCCAAGTTCATATGCCTCTTTCCCATGGAAAGATTTTCTGGTCTAGATTTTTAAAGGGAAGAGCGAGTTTTAAAAAATAATCTGTCAGTTTGTCACTGATATTAATTATATAGAAAGCAAAATTCTGTTTTCAAGAACATAGCCAATATGTTGATATATATTTTGAGCACAGCTTTAAACTTAGTGATGATATTGTGTGTAGTAATACAAAAGTAAATGAAAACTACTACATACAAAGACAGTAACTGGTGTTTCTTCTCGCCCAGACTTGCCCGTTTCTTTTTCACATATCTCAGATTGTTCTTGCTCCTAGGAAGATAGGAGAGGGTCACAGAGGCACATTGTTTTGAAGTTAGCAAACTCTTGGACCATGCTGCTTACGAGAAACTGGAAGGTAAAGTATTGAGAAGCAGAAGGAATTAAATATATTTGTCTTTTCAAAAATTATTTATTTATTCATTTTACATCCTGATTGCAGGCCCTTTTCCTCTCCTCCCAGGCCCCCAATATATTTGTCTTTTAACAAGAATTTGTCTTGGAAATAAAAGGAGGTGAACAAAAAACTCAGGAGATAAACCACTGTCTCACTATAGGCTGATGAGGCTTGGTAATAAATCTTGAAGACAGTATGAAAAAAAGTGTTTTTACAATAACAATAAAATAAAAGTTATTGCATTCCACAGTATAAAGCCAGGTTGTCTTTTTAATGATAAGTATAGATTAAAAATTAGGTAAATATTTCAGAAGAGAAGGGGATTTGAGGAGGGTGGGTTAGTAGAGGAAGTATAGGAGCAAAGCACCTTAAGTATATGCATGAAAACGTCAATCATTATTTCAATTACTGTATAATAATACATTAAATCAAGGAAGTGAGTTTCTCTTTGGATAAAGATATATGTATAAAGAAGTAGCCAGCTCCGTCGATTCTGCCGTGGCTAGTGTAGCCTTCTACCAGACAGAGGCACTACTACAGCACTGCCTTTAGGGAGTGCCTTAAATATATAAAATAGAAATTTGAGGTTATGTAAGTGGAGAACATAAGACCTTGGAAACCAAAAGGAAAAGAAAGACCTTGAATTTTCTATGTGACACAAGGACATACATTTTCTTTCCTTATTGGTTTTTCAAGACAGGGTTTCTCTGTGTGGCCCAGGCTGGCCTGTAATTCACTCTGCAGACCAGGCTGGCCTAGAACTCAGAGATCTGCCTGTTGGAATTAAAGAGATTAAAGGCGTGTGCCACCACCAATTGGCAAAATAATATTTTTAGCATTATCTCTTTAATTTCAATAAAAACCAAAGCCAAACTCCATCATCTGGTAAGACTAGAAATGAATGGAACAGCCTCAGAGATGCAGGTGCAAATGGACGCATATTCACTTTGGAAAGCAGAGTGACAGCTTCTACAAAAACATTCTCCAAAGCTGTTGGAGAACATTAAATTTTGTACTTTGTTAATGTCTCTTGTATAACGTGAGAAAATGACATTTTCACTGTTCTCTACAGTAGTGCTCTAAAAAAATTAATTTACTGTCTTTTTTGTTTTGAGACAGTGTTTCTCTGGGTAGCCCTGGCTTTCCTGGAACTCACTCTGTAGACCAGGCTGGCCTAGAACTCAGAGATCTGCCTGCCTCTGCCTTCCGAGTGCTGGGATTAAAGGTGTGTGCCACCACGGCCAAGTAAATTTTTTGTGGTCTTTAGGGTGATGATTATATATTATTTTTATATAGGTTTTACTGCTATTCATACTGACATTGAGCCTTTGGGCTCAGGTGATCCTCCTGCCTCAGCCGCTTCAGTGGCTTGGAATTACAGAGTCATGCCATTGAACCCAGATAGTTGTTGTTGCTGGTTTTTGTTTTTGTTTTGTTTTGTTTTTCCTTTCAAATTTTAAAGTTATCTGCAAATGACTTTGGAGGAATTCTGCTAAAATTTAATCTTTAATTTGGATATATGGGGTCTAGTTTGAGACTAATTTTATCAGGTTTCCAGTTGCTGCCAATGATGCTAACCCCACATAAGCTTTCTCAACCAATGATTCCTCATGCCAAGCACAAAGCAGAGAATGTACTGACTTCCAAGGATGGCACAAAACCAGAATCCTATTAGATGTGAAAGCAAGACACCGATTTTTTACATGTAATGTGTGCCTTCAAATTAGGACAGTTTGGGTTAAGAAAGGCTATCTTTGAGAATACTATTTATGAGAAAGAAAAGTTCAGTCACTAAAGAGATTAACTTTGCAGAAAAACTCTATTATTAGTTTTAATTCAAAATAGGTTTTTTTTGTAATATGTAAGTGAAAAAGTTAGAATAATAGTGTTTTATTTTATAAGATATAATTCATGACTTGTGATGCTCAATAAAGTTTAAATTCATGCTAAGTATTGGTATTCAGATATTTTAGATGATTATTTCTCAGCATAAAAAGGTTAAATAAGTTATTTTTATAGTACTTGATACACTTCTCAAAAATTGGGAGAGAACAAAATGATTTTTATACACAGAAAACACCAGCCCAATCCCATCGCCTCACGAGACTGTACCTTGAACGTGTGCTTGTTATAGTAGCGGTCGTCCAGCTTAGCGCCCCATTCTGCTGGGTCAAAGCTGGTTTCTAAACAACAAAAACAATTTTGTACTTATTTTGTGCTCATTAAAGTGAACCTACAGCAATGCAGGAACAAAGCTTCTTGTTTCAAATCATAGGTTCTTTATGGGCAGTTGAAAATCTTACTGAAACGTCATAGCCTAGTGCTGTAGACATAAACAATTATGAACTATAAGGGCCAGCTTAACACAGAACAAGTCCTGAAGCTCAATTACACAAACACTAAGCACCTTCATAACTTCTGCCTTCGTAACACTCGTAATGGGAGAGAGAACAAAGGTCAGTATTTTAAATAAACAGACACTTAAAACATGTATTAGCAAATGCAAAAAATATATAAAATACATACTAAAGAATCAGGATGTTTGGAAAAGTGAAAAATAAGGGAGAATTTTAAAAAAAGACACATTATTATGTAGACAGTCAATATAGACAACTATTTCCATCCTAAGATAATTTTAACTGTTCATCATGAAAAATTATAAACGCCCAAAGTAGAATGTTCTAACAAACCCCATGTCCACATAACCTAGAAATTATAATTATCAACTCTCATTTCATCATTTATCTATACATTTTTTCTGGCTATTTACAAGCTAGCACCAAGCATCTTATTAATTTATCTATAGATATATAAATATGAACCTTTAAAATATCAGCATGTGCCATTATATCTAAAATATTAACAATTCCTGCAATCCTATATCTAGCTAGCTATCCAAAATTTCCCCATTGTCTAATAAAATTATTTATCTTGATCATATCAGAGCCTCAAAATGGACATATAATGCCTTTTGTTATGTCTTTTTAATAATATTTAGTGGAAAATCCATCACCACCTTATTTTTTTGTGCAATTTATTTGTTGATGAAATTGGGCCAGTTTTCTTTTGGAATTTTCCAGGGCAGATATTTCTGACTGTCTCCACAGGGGATTGTTACAGGGTCATTTGCCCTTGAATTCCCTGTAGACTAGTAGTTAGAGCTGCAGGTTTCATTTGATTTAGGTTTAATTTTTTTTTTTTTTGGCAAGAACACTTGAGTGGTAGTGCTACTTAATCATCTCAAAAGACAAATCATATCCTGTTCTATTTTAAAATAATTTTTATGGGCTCCTGATGATTTTTCCTTAACTTATGTAGGGTTATAAAATAGTAATGTTCAAATTAATCGGTACTTCTTTTGGGGTAGAATTGATAAACAGTCAACGATTTGGTTATGCTGAAACAAGGCTCTTACAAGAAAGGAAGGTCAAAGATTTGATTCCTTTACCAGCTTCAAAATAACCAGGTGGTTCCCAGTACCTGCTTATGGTGACCTGACAATGATGAGTTCTGTGTTCTTAGTTCAGTATTATGAGCTCACAAATATTTGGCAACTTGGGTGAATTCAGGTCCACTTATTTTTATTCTTTTTCATGATCTTCTATTTGTCCAAAATTTGGTCAGTGGTAGCTTATTCAGGTGTTCAAATGCTTCTTAGGCCTTTGCAAGCAACCCTAGAAATCATTCTGCAAGTCTGGTTCATGGGACATGGTATTCAGAGATGATAACTTAGGGTTAGATGCTTTTGAGGTTTCAAAAATGTATGGAGCCAGAAACTACTTTCATTTAAAAATTGTGCGTGGGTACATGTGTGTGTGTGCATCTCTCTCCCTTCCACCATGTGGGTCTTGGAAGTTGAACTCCAGGCTTCTGGCTTTTCAGCATTTGCCTTCACTCTCTGAGATACTTTCATTTTAAAAGAGAAAGGATCACTCTGGTATCTTAAAATTCAAGTTCAAGATTACAGAATTTTATTAAACTACATAAAAAGTTTTTGCACTCTAAATTTTATTCTCAGTACTAGCATACTTACTTGATTCATTCTTTAATATACAGTTACAGAGTTTCCAGAATAATTCTACATATTAGTCAACTTTCATCACTATCACAAATACCCGAGATAAATCAGCTTAAAAGAGGAAATGTATATTGTGGTTCACAGTGGTAGAGGTATTAAAGGTTGATTTGCCTTGTTGTTTGAGCTAGTGAAAGAATAAAAAAAAAAAAAAAAAAAAAAAAGCAAGCAAGCAAAAAACAAAAAAACAAAACAAAACAAAACAAAACACCAACTATGTATATTTTGGTTGTTTTCCCAAATGATATAATGAAAGTCTAGAGGTGGAAATTCTGGACTAAAGGTTAAATAAATATGTAATTTTGTCAGATACTGCAGAAATCCATCCTTTTCAATTGTATTTTACATCTCCAGTGGATGGGTATGAGGGCTTATTTCTCTAAGCCTTATCTGCTAACCATACTGTCACATTTTTGGCTTTCTGGCAGTATGATAGCGCAGTGGTTGTTGGTCGGTCATTGTAATTTCTTCCGTTTTGTTTTGTTTTGTTTTAACATGTATTTGTGTGTGTGCCTATGGAAATAAAGAAGTCAGAGCCCCTGGAACTCTAGCTACAGGCAGTTGTGAGCTTCCAGGGGTGGGTGCTGCTATCTGAACTTGGGTCCTCTGGAAGAGCAAAAGTGCTCTTAACCCCTAAGCCATCTCCATATCCCCAGTTGAGTATAATTTTGATTAGAATTGTTGTTATTATGGGCCAATTTGAGTAATTTTCATGTTAAGGGCTACTTGTGTTTACTTCTGTGAATTGTTTGTTGCTATCTCTTGGTATAAATGTGTTAAACATGCCATTTTTACAAGCTCTTTATTAGCTTTATTAACTAAATGGGATGTAAATTATGAGCATTTTCTTTTCTGTTATCTGTTTGTTTTCTTCATGGTGCTTTGTTACATACAAGTTTACTTTTTATGCTGTCAATTTTGTCAATCTGTTCTATCAACCTTGTTGCATTTGAGTTTGAAAAAATGAAGGGACCTTAGCAAGATGTCTTCTTAAGTGATGGATTTTATTTTCTCCTAGCATCTAAATGATTTCTTTCTTCTTTAGTATTTAAATTTGGAATCAATATATAATTTATTTGGGTGTGTGACATAAAGAACTGATACAATTTTGTTTTCTCATTTTTATCTCAATATCATTTAAGAAGTCCATTTTCTTCTAATGATTGGAGATAGCATTTACATTGTATATTAACAGGTTTTCTGTCACAAAAAATAAGACTAATATCCAACTGTGAAAAATGGTGGCAAGGGAATTCTTGCAGTGTGGGAGCCTGGACATTGTGGACTTAGAGAAGTCCATAGCGATTTATTTTGCCTTAATTGGGAAGGCTAAGGCTTTATACTGTATTAGTTTGTAGTTCACCTTTAGCTGACATGGGTGGACGTGGGTGTGGTGGTTAAATTGTTTTTCAAATGGCTTTAGCCATTTGTTTATGAGAGAACTAGTATTCTGAAGCTGTTAGTCATCAATTGTTTTTATTACTATGACCTGGTAACAATGACTCAAATTTTTTTAATGGTATGTTCCTAAGTTCTAAAATTAAGCAAATAATGACAGATTTTTACTTCATGAATTTGTAAAATTTATGTTCTCAAAAACCACTACTTTTAGTCCAATGATTTACTAGCTTTTCACCCCTAATGCTGAGACTGTGCAGTAAATATTCAACCTGACTGGATATGGGACAGACCAACAGTAGTCAGGAAACTGGTGGAAATTTTGAGTTTTTCAAAGGCAGGATCATAGGGGCAGGGGGTGGAGCAGTTCAGTGTGCATGGGAATTGTTTTGATTCCGGCCTTGTTCTGGGTTTCCTCTCTCTGTAAAATGATTTATGAAGGAACGTTTGTTTGCTTGGGAATATTTCTAGTCTTCTTTGCACAAAGTAATGATGATGAAGCTTATATGATTGTTCCATGGAAGAGCAGATTTTTAGCACAAACACGATTATAATCATTCCCTTTTGACCACTGGGCCAGATCCTCATAGTCATGAATCGTTAAGGCTGGGAGTTGGAAAGGAAGTGTAGGAACTTCACACTGGCTTGAAATCAAAGGGTTACTGTTAGCATGATGGGACTCTGCAGGATGGGAGCGGGAGAGTATATAGATGGACACTACCTTCCCCAGCTGGCAATTCACTTGCCAGAGAAGAGGGTTTCTATGCCTTTGTTGAAGAAGTTTCATATACCCCAGTGAAAACCAATTTATTTAATCTAAGGAGTGCTGAATTATTTTTATAACACTTATAATACTTTCAATTGAGAAGAATCAAAATTTAAAGAAAACTACAAATTATCTTCTCAGGAAGCACAGGCAGTCAGCTAGCGGGGATGCATGAGAACAGGTCCACATCATTCCACACTACGTACATGAGGAATACAGTGAGAGTGGCCCGGGAAGTGAACTGGCATGTACCGTTTCAAACGTAAGAACTATATATGAAGCCACTTGCGTCATAAAGGCTTTCTTCACAATGACCATGATCTTAAGTTATCCTTTTTCTGTGTATATGTGTATGTTTTCTTGCTCCCATGTGTGTGGGTGCGTGCGTGAACATGTGTGTGTGTCCCTTGAGGGCGTGCGGACAATGTGTTTGCATGTGTACAGAGGTCACAGGCTGAAGACATGTATATTCCTCAGCCTTAACTTCTACCACAACGAAATGCTTAGTTTACTTAAAAATTCCTATGTTTTTTTTTTAGAAGCGCTTACTCTCTCTTTTCTCTAGAAGGTTCTCAAAGTATGCTGCGGCAAAAGCTGGTATATTGTCCGGCTGCTCCCTCAGAATCTCCCGTGTCAGCCCTTCAAGAAGATTTCCAAATCCTTGTGGAATTCGGTAGTGGGTGTTGGAGAAAGGAATCGACATTTCCTTGGAAAGAATTGCCTACGGTACCTAAAGATTCGGTAAAAAGTGTCTAATTTAAATTATATAATCACAACTACCTCACAACTCAAATTAATTCTCAAATACACATATTTTTGACTTTAAAAAGAAAAAAATTCACACAGTCCATGCCTGGTGATCTCAGTACACCTTAATGAAATCCCTGCAAACCACACTGTGGAAGGAGAGAACTGATTCCCCAAACTGTTCTGACTTCCATGGGCAGGCTGTATCACTGAGACTGCACCCATACACACACACACACACACACACACACACACACACACACACACACACA